TTTCAAGAGTATAAAACACAACGCTTAACAGAAAGCAAGGTACCGCTATCAGAGCGGAATAACGTTAAAGCCGAAATTGCGAACTAGGCGAAATCAGACACGACCGTTCAGGTAAGCAGTTTGTAGAAGAATGAACCCAAGTAAGGCGGGTTAAGAGATAGACAGAGCATAGGCACAAAGATAGAATTTAATTGGCTACTTAACCAGGTAGGAAGATATAGATGAAGATCAATAAATAAGATAAACTCGACAGAATAGTACAGAGTAAGACATGGGTCAGCAAAAAATAACAGTTAACAAAATACTCTGAATGGGTCATGAGTTCAACTGTCTGACTAAACGGATCGAGGTAAAAAACATATACACACAGTTCATTAAACAAGGTGGGATAGACACGTTAGGCGTGGATAATTTGGTTGCAACAACGCTAGGCTGATCCTGGACAGGTTGACTTGATTCAAGGAGGGGAATTGAATTGATCTTACGTTAGTAGTGTGACCTTCCTTTCTACAGTGTAACTGGATACACGTAAATTTGTAAATACAATCAACGCTAACCTAAGAAGGGTATATGTCGCCTATTTGACCACACCGGAGAGCACCTCATGCGATAAACGAAGAACTACTAAGGTTCTAACCAGTGAAGTATGAGGCCTTTTGTTGACTGTTCCAGAAGTCGAGATGTACGAAAATAGGTTTCTTTTCACTGTGATTTTTCTGCATTTACATATTCATATCTCCAGTACTTGTCAATAAATTTCTTAAAGTAGCCATTGTTTTCCAACCTCATAAATTCTCAGTAGAGCTTATTCTTCCATCTTTGTAAAACAGAGTTTTGACCAATTCTATGGAAATTTAATTTTTATCCATTCCATCTAGGCTTTTGGTGAATTCATCTGTGAAGACTACTATGCTCCAAGCGTCTAATAGCAGTGTCAAGAAAATAAAACTTCCTACTGTGTTCCGGTTCAGGTGTCATAGTATGTCAACATATTCATGTACATCGTTGAATAGTCCAAGTAGGTGGGACACGAGTTTCACTATTCAATAGTACAAATATGTCATCAACATATCGACAATAGGAGGTCGTTTCATCGATTACACACTTCAGTTTTTCTCTCTCAAGATTAGACATAAAGATTACCACTCATACAAGGCTTAACGAATTGCCTATAGCTACATCATCTATTCAAATGGAAATACATACCCACAGTACACATTAGTAATAGGCGTTTCGACTACAGGATTGGGATGGGGAGAGATAGTGCTAACAGGTTCATTGATTAAGGCACTTGTGAACAAAAAAGTGACATCATTTGACATCATGAACCTATTGGAAACATTCATGTGATTCAGTCTTTCAGGAAAACATATTTTCATTGGTCTTTCTTGCAACTTCTTTATGTACCGTGAAAGATTTGACATAATAATCCAACTGCAAACTCAAACTGCTTTCTAGTGATAAAAAGTATACATTCAAACACAAAGAAAATGGTAGCTAAGGGTCAGGCAAAAATTAACACCTTAATTGTTTACATTTCCATCCTCATGAAATCTATGATTTCGGTTATCCCAAGTGCCCCCAACCTCTTTCACTTGATAAGTAGATGTGCAAGCACACTGTTGGAAACGTTATGCGCGAAACTTCATTATCATCTAATTCCGTATTCATTTGTTTATTAGATATTTCACACAGTGAAACAGTACTATTATTTTCTGGATGACGAAGTTCCGAACACTATTTATTGTTCACAATCATATCAATTATAATCACACGACTTCGAAACTTAAGTTTTATAGTTTCCCTTTTTCTCTCCCATTTGTCGTAGAGATAGTTGAATTTTCTCGATATCTGGAACAGGTTTTGAAATAAGGTATATAAGAGAATAATTCCATTATGGATAAAATTTATTTTGATAAAGTCTCACAGTGTTATACAGCAATATTTACTGATGATGTTTCGAGCACAATTTATTGCTCATAATCATATCGAAGTACTCACACGACTTTCTAACTTCGTTTATATAATTCCATTATTTTTCATCGCTTGAATTGATTGGTAGTAGTATTTTCCATATTTACGGTATGACTGAGGAATCATTCCTATTGCACGTGTTAGGTGTAGACTCGATGAACAAGGATTCAGTAATCAAACTCTCTCTTTCCATCTATCTATGTTACTTATTAGAATTTAAACCATCTCCCACCCTGTTGCGTGGTTGTGTTAATGCATGCAGGGTGATTGCTGAGTTCTTTTTCTAAATTACGTATCTTCATGGGATAAGTCATTCTAACACCTCAACTAAATTCTTATGTTCTGATAATCTCACAACTCCTGATCTACTAGTTTGACCTATTTAGTTGACTTCACAGTCATTGCAAGGCATTTTGTAAATTATACTATTCTGTCTAATTGGCTCAACATCATCAGTAAATATTACTGTATAACACTGTGAGACTTTATCAAAATAAATTTTACCTATAATGAAATTATACCCTACCAGAGTGCACAAGTTCTATTCTTATATCAATGATGCATATAAAAGAAGCTTTGAAACTTAATAACCACCCTGATAAATTAATCCGAAAGTATATAGGAAAATGTAGGAATAAAATTAATAATAATGGTAGTGATAGTGATAACAATATTACTGATGACCACATGCATGTCGAACATGCACGGGATAATCACAACACCAATAGTGGGGAATTCACTTCATCAGTAGTACTTCTATACAAAGAAGGAAACTCGGAAATTCTACGGAGAATACTTAACAAGGCAGGATTAAAAGTGGCTGGCATTCAAACCCACAAACTCAATCAGAAACAGGCTTTGTCGGTTAAAGGATACTGTGGAGCCGACTGAATAGAACAATTTGGTTTATTTAATCCCCTGCTCGCAATGATTTTCAGGTCAAATACATAGATCAAAGTGGTAGGAAAGGGTCGGTCATACTAGCGGAGCACAAAAACCTAGAAAAGTCTAGATTACGGATAAGATTTCATTTTTATAAATCAAAGTGTTATATAGTAATATTAACTGATGACTTTTCAAGTACAAACTATTGCTCATAATCATATTAAGTTACTCACATTGATAACGGAAGCTTTATTTGTAGTGGGAATGATTCAACACCTGTCCAGCTGGGTATCTGGAAAATTCTACTACCCTTACGACAAATAGGAACGAACGAGGAAAACTATAAAACTCAAGTCCCTACGTCATGTGATTATAATTGATATGATTATGAACAGCAGTAAATTGTTTGCATAACGTCACCCAGTAAACAATACTGTTTCACTGTGTGATGTATCTAATAAAAAATCAATATGGAATTACACACTACAACAGCGATCAAGTTTTACACGTTTATCATTATCATCTCATAATAAAAGTATCCAAGTTTATTAAATATGACTAATTGTTCTAAGGTTTCAATTATCAAACGATTGGTTAGGCTCAAATTCGTTAAGGATTCACTTTCGATTAGAAATCCCATAAGCGGTCTTCTCTAATCAGGACTGACACTTGGAATGATGCACTTCTGTGCGGACGTTGAATGTTTAATGCCAAAAAATATGCTGAAGTAGAAGGACACTGTAATGGACAAAAATAATTTTGCTATCAGTAAACTAACCACTGGTAATTAGTCCGATGCTCGCTAGTGGCTGGCTACAGGACGAAATTTCCCGGAGTCCTAGTGAGAAGTCGCTGCCAGGGAGATCCACGCGGTCGAGAGTGAAGACAGATATTCATTGGTGATATTGGCTAGTGATCCCGCTAAGAATTCACGAATTTGTAGAAGTTAGAATTCATGGGCTGGCCACTGAGCCGGGTCCCAGTGTCTGAATAGTCCATGAGCTTGACTTGTACTCGGGAGGTACTGGGGTTAGAACCCTAGTTGGTGCGTACTGTCCTAATGTAGGACAGAACAGCTGACTGTCCAGTACTCCCTGGTTTTCAATGATTTTCTAACTGCTTATCGATCGGTGATCAAACTTGAGACAAATTAAATCCCTACAGACTAACCTTCGAAAACAAACATAGATGATAGAAAGCACAGTCTGTGGCACCATAGTAAGATTTTGAGTTGTTCAACCCACTACTGATCCTTAGGATATCCACAACCCAAACTAAATAACATATATGTCCTCAAGATAAGTAGTTAGGGATTTAAGGGGTAGATATCATTTTTAGTATGCATATCTTAAACACTCTCGTCTTCCTTAAGAGTTTTGAGTTGTCTATTATTTCATAGGACTCAGTTCTGAGTAGACATAATAACGCAATCCTTCGATATCTGGCTGTCCATAATTCATCTATGGCGTCGACATTCTTCCCTTGGAAATTAACATTTCACAGTATCGTTGCATTAAGAGCTTTTTTCATGCCCTCGCATTCCCAATCGATCACAGAGCTTCAGAGACAGAATTTCTCACATTCCATTATGGGTAAATTTTGTTTCGATAAAGTCTCAGTGTTATACAGTAATATTTACTGATGACGTTTCGAGCACAATTTATTGCTCATAATCATGTCAAGGTATGAGCAATAAATTGTGCTCGAAACGTCATCAGTAAACATTACTGTATGACACTGTGAGACTTTATCAAAACAAAATTTACCCATAATGGAATTACACTCTACCACAGTGCACAAGTTTTATTCTTATATCAAGAATTTCTCACAGTAGGTGTGATGTTTTTTTATGGGATGCAGTTGCCAGACCCATGCCCAACCTACCCTCTTCTCCGGGCTTAGTACCATCTAGTAAACGTAGTGGTTTTGGAGAGCATTGACCAGAGACCGAACCCACAACGTGTAGTGCATCTAGCGATCATTTTCTATTGAAATACAGACGCGAAGTACTGAAAGTGTAAGTCGTAAATTAAAGTGCACATGTCAGTGCAAGCTTCCAGCCATTTGATAATCTATCATTACACCTTTGGATAATGGTACAAATGTCCACTTTCACCCTAATAATAAAGCAGAAAACAAGATTATGAGAAAATTGTATGCGAACTGATAAAAAATTTCCAAAGATGACTGAAACGAATTCCTAACGTAAGCCAAGTAGCCATTTAGTTAGAACAGATGGGGAAAAAACGACAGTTCACGTTAATGTTCATGGTCCAAGTGCAAAGTCGGAGGAAGAAACATAGATTAAGAACTTGTCAGAACGTATGTCAATTGAGATTGATGCGAAGAACTTCATTAGGCCTTCTAGACAGAATTTTAAGCCCTCAATTATTTCACTGGTGTCCAGTTGACATCTTTTTGACAGTGTTGTACCTGATTCTAGTCGACTGGAAATAATATCAAGACTTTCGGTAATATTATTATTATCAATTATAAAGGGGATTGGATAAACCCCAAAACCGCTTCTTTTTAACTCCATAATAAGAGAGCAGTGTAGAAGTATCCACACTTTTCTGTACATTACTATTATTATTATTAACTGGGTCAAAAAATATGTACAAGAATTTTTAAAAATAAACCAAAAAGAAAATATCAATGTACAAGATAAAATTCTATGCGATACTGTAGACTGTCAATGATAACGGGGATAAGTAGCTCCTGGATGACCTAGGTGATTTGATGGAATGTTTCTCATCGGTTGCTGTTGTTGTTGTTGTTGCTGAAATACAAAAGTGTAAAAAGTGTACACACTAAGTCAGAAGAGGTAAGTGACTTATAAAATATTTGGCAACAAACTAATGCACATTAAAATTGACGATTTCATTCAGTTAATGTTGACTGGCAGTAAAAACTAGGAACTACGGTGACTCAGACAAGTCCTCATAGAGAATGGATATCCTCCAAGATTTTTGAGAAAAACATGAAGTTAAGGGAAAAGCTTGAAAACACTTAGCCAGTGTCGAAGAAACTGCTATTTATGAGTGTTGAATTTAAAGGTGATACCGTAGCTCCGATCCTGAAGAATCGCTTATGCAGATCACTGAGGAAAGCCTTCTTTATGGCTGAGCTACGTATCAATTTCTACAACCGACGAATGATCAATGGATGTGTGAAGGATAAACTTCCGCTTTGGGCCGCCTTAATGTGCCTTTATAAATTCGCCTGCTAGTTATATTGGCAGCACAAAGCGCACGCTTTCCAAACATATCCTGAACATTATCCGGTATGGTTAGCAAAGGGACAATGTAAGACAATTACTAGCTCAATTCTCAAGCATTTGCTGAACTCAGGCCACGTAGCTCCACCAGAGTCGTCTTTCAAGATCATCTACAAAGTGAAGCCAAATGGTACAAAGAGCGTCAGGTTTCTGCTTTTGTGTATGGCGGAGGCGCTGGCAATTAATCAATACAACCCTGAACTCTGTATACAGAAAACGTTTGTCCAGTCTCTTATTCTACTTTGGTCTTAACCTCTTCCCTAATCGTTCCCTGTAAAAAAAATTTTGATGTTTCTTTTCTTTTTTAATTTTACTTTTAGCTTGCTTTTGCTTTAATAATTAATTCACCATTATCACTCGCATATGCTCTTTTTGTACATTTTCACACCCTCTTCACACTTGTTAAATGGACACTCAACTATCTTTATTCTCACTCAATAGCAATTTTAACCTTATCAAATTTCTATCTTTATGCCGTTGAGTACTATGTAATTTACAACTTTTAATTTTCACTTCTAAAGCCACTTCTGAGTAATTATATCAATTATGTCACCCCCTATTACTCAATAACAGACCACTATATATTTTTGTAAGTATAAATACGACTGTACAGCCTCTAAAGATGATTTCGTCGATAAAGAAAATTTTCTTCGCTGAATCTCTTCTATTTTCTTCATGACTCAATGGGTATTTCCGGTGATTTAAAACTAGGATGCTTATTTCACCCCCACTTGAAACTCGTTAGATGGATGATCCCGCTGGGATCCATACCAAGTATCCACATTAAACTTGAGGTGCTGTAGTCGGAGAAAACACGTTAACAGTAACTAAGCATTTCTATCCAATAAGATCAATCAAAGGAAAATTCGAAACTAATTTGGTGATTGTTCCTATAGAGAAATCGCACTATCCATCATAATACGACATACATTAATCACTGTATGTCAACGTGTATCTGTAATATATCCCAATGTTCAGATGAAATAAAGTCAAGGTTTAGAAATAGTGACTCAGGGGTTGGACACTCAGGACCTACAGCGATGAGCCACACCACCACATATTCCCGTCATCCCAAAATATTTTCCTTACAGACGTTGAAGAGTGTCAACTGCGCTTTGATCTCCACAGATGATATCACGAAATTTTGTTTTGTCCGAACTCAGTTATCCAGATCAAACGTCTTATGTCCCAGACTATTAATATTATTGTTATTTTTGAAACAAAGACTTGGTACATTATGGGCACCAAGAGATGCCTGGACGCCCAGATCGAGGCAGATGGTTGTCTTTAGAGAGCATCTCCGAGCCTTTGACTTGAAGTCTAATCCACAAGGCAGTGAGGTGTGGAGCAGGGACAGGAGCCACCTTAAAATGGTCAACGGTGACCAAAACAGGTTCACACGCCATTCGATCCCTTAGGATTTATGGAAGTTTGGATTCATCCCCAACTCGTGTCCTAGCCATCTCAAATCTATGCAGCTACACAATCTGAACGATGGAATTAACCTCCTTACCCCTAGTATTCTAAGCCTACCATATTACATTATTTGATCCGGGAGTTACGACGCAGACACCTATGAGTAAAGACAACTAACCCTTTCATATCTCCTAGTTTCAATGGCCATGTCGCACAGCCATAATGAAGGATATAGCGAACTGCAGCGCAGTACGCACGCCTTCTGATCGATAGCCACGGATGACGTATGTTGAAAAAGCCACACGAGCTTCTCGTATCCTCACTGAGAACCCAACAGCAAGCAATCTATAAAAATCTGGCGCAACCTCCCAAATAAGAGAAGTGGCCAACATGCTTAGCCATTCCACTGCCTATTTTCACGCTAGTAATCTGTGTAGTCCAGTCTTGCAGCATTATCTTAAATTCGACGGCAGTGAATATGAAGCCAAACATTCGAAGATTTCTGCTCAAGATGCTTAGCATATTCACTAGAAGGGGTAATATCATCCGCATACTGGTACCGAGTCAATCTCTAAGCCCACTGAAGTCAGTTAGGATCAATCCCATTAGTACACCTATGATGAAATTAAACAAAAATGGGGACAGTAGGCATATATCAGAAAGGGTTAATCAAACTCAACCAAGATCAACAGTAATCAAAGAACAAATAAAAAAATATTTAGAAAAAACTGTTTACTTGATGTGGATAATTTGATCCAGCATTAGGCATATGTTGCTGAGATTGAGCTGTTTTATTTGTATTCAACAACCCACTGTTGTTGACTGCCGACGACAACGACGAGGAGGTTGCTGAAGAAGATGGTGCCGGTGGTGGTGCAATCGATGCATCGTTATTCCCTTGAGATAGTCGAATACGTTTACTCGACGACATGTCATCATTCTGTTAAGAGATGAAATAAAAAAGTACGGAAATTACTGAAGACGTTCTTACACTTCGATTAGTCCAAATACAACAAAAAAACGAAACGAAACGAACGAAAGGACAGACGAGAATGACAAAAACGATTAAAACAAACTGACACTTAAACTTCAAGTGACCTTAAATGATGAGATATACTGACGAACAGGTAAAGTAGAATTGCGTATAACCTCCAATCTTCTATTGCACACATTATATAAGTCGCTACTAATGCCCTGTGCTACACAATAATTATTACTCATCTTCATAGAATTTCGTCTATCACTGTGTACTGCTAGAGGAGGATACACAATATCTGGACTGAGCTGATTACCGCTTATGGTGCATACACATAATTTTCTTCAGGTGCTTTTCGATTTTCGTACATTCCACCTACAAACACAGACAGGTTGTGATATTGAGTAGACGTTTCGGCTGACTGTATATTCTCTTGCATAAATCGTGAAGATATCATCAATTCGTCTTGGTTGATCACACGGTGATAAGTGGTAGGTGTAGAATGAATGCAAGTATTGTTGTTACCCGCAATGTAGCAATTGTGATCCGAACAGTCTTGTGAATAACTCCAATTATCCAATGATTCATTATTACAACAGTGATGATTATGATTATAGTCTATACGATGATGCAGGATATTTGAAGGGAACATCATTTCACGCAAGACATTTCGACGCGCAGTTTTTGGATATTCCATATTTACGTAATAGTAGTGATCGCCATCGCGGCAACACAAAGATTCACACCAATACATCTACACAGAATTTATTAATAAATTAAATACAAAATGTTGATCAACGATATATTTTGAAAGAGATGGGAAAAAAGTATAGCGAATATCTGAAGGTTTAAACACAAGTTCGACCTCATTTTGACGAGGATGTGAATCCCTGTTCTATCTCCTCATATTTTTTGATGAAACAAAGGAGTGAGGAGCTATTTCACAATAATTCCATGTCAATTAGCTCATCGGATATATCACATAGACAGTGAAACAGTGTTCTTGTTAATTCCTCAGTATTCCTTTGCTACTATTTCTTTTGAGTACAAACTTATACTACTTATTACTAGTAAGCAGTCTGATATATGACAAATCAAGTTCATTTTTAATAGTTGAAAAAAATTTGGGCATTGGGTATATGATATTCAATATAATGCACACTGACTGTCCATTTGACGGCATTAGACAACAGGCACCTAACAGTTTGGGCTTTGTGCATTATATTTCATTATTTTATGTATAATATAGTACCGTAATTCAGACAAATCCTGTGTGTTTAGATTCTACACACCACACAAACGTCTGGTTTAACTAATCATTCACAATTATCACTCCAGATTTCATGAGAGATTTCTATAGTTATTTACTGGATGACATCTATTGTTCAAAATAGTACCATCACTTGTAGCCGCATAACTTTGAAAGTTGTTTTTTGTAGTTCTCTTTATTGCTTCTTATCTGTCGTAGGGATGGTAGAATTTTCCAGAAGTCCAGGACGGATGATGAAACATTCCTAATGCGCGTACTCTCAGTTGATTTGATAAATGAAGCTTCATTTATCAATTACTGTAGATTTTTCCAGATTATTGTGCACCACTTATCCGAATTGACTCTGTTCTACTACTTTGACCTATGTATTCGACAATTCGACAACTGAGACCCTAAACAACAGCCCATGAATTCCAACTTATGCCAATTTGCAATATTTAGCGCAACCGCCAACGAACGCCACAGGTGAGTAATCGTCCTCTTTTTTTACTATGTGGACCCCAATGGTTACGATCTCTTAATAGAAATCCAAATTGGTTGAAGTTAGAATTCATGAGCCATTGAATCGGGTCCCAGTGGATGAATGATGTACGTGCTTGCCTTGTAACCGGAATGTCCTGGGTTCGAAACCCAGTGGGTGCGTACTGCCGACTAGGATGAAACAGCAGCTGTCCAGTACTCCCTGGTTTTCAATGGTTCTCTAACTGATATCAATCCGTGATCAACTCGTAAAGATCCGAGTAACTGCTTCCATAGACCCAGTCGCTAGTGAGCATCAGAATAGTTATCAAGTCTTGGTTTGCAGGGTTTTGATTAGTTACAAGCTGAAATAAATACGAGAACCATTGGAAAGCCAGGAAGTACTGGACAACTGTTTCGTCCCAGTTCAAGAATTTTAATCGGTATGCACCCACCAAGGTTTGAACCCAGGACCTCCAGCTTACAAAGCGCGATCTTGGACCACGTATTTGACCTCACAATCACTACAAGGTATTAGATAAACTAAATTATTTTGTTTAACGAGATCTTCAGGGCTATTTAACCAACAGAATTTCCTTCTAAGTGAGTTTATGAACTTGAATGCCACTTTTTACTCGTGCTCGTGCTGTGGAAGGGAATTTAAGACATCAGTAGTGCTTATAAAGAATAAATCGTGTTTGATACGTCATCCGGTAAATACCACGACAGAAACTTACCTTTTTATGTGAACCTACAAGTACGATGTGCCGGGTGAAAAAAAAAACTCAACTGGTGGAAACATGTGATTTGATTACAGATATCTGCCAATATATACATTTCCCAGCTGCGATCAGTATTTTAATCTCTTGGAGACTTTCAAAAATGTCAAAATAACGGCACTGAATCACCTACTCCCCACAAACTACGTTATTGCTTCACTGTTGGACTGTTGAAACAATCAATAGGCAACATTTGCCTACTTCAATGAAATCACAACAGTATAGGACTATCACTCAGTGTTAGTCCAAACGCATTTCTCTTTCTCACTTATGATTTGGTCTAGATTTTTAGTATAAGACATTTGTGAATTAAGTAAAAACAGGCACACGCAACGAATTGAATCGTGAATTATTGTCTGATTTCATCACGAGGTGATTTAAGTTAGAAAAATATTGAAAACCGGGGAATACTAAACGGCTGTTTCGTCTTTGTCTCGGACTCTTCATCAGTATGCATATAGAACTTTACAAGACTAGCTTAATGGCCATTTAGCCACTGGAACGGTATTCAATGACCCATCAATTGTAGCCTCTGCAATATAGAGTGACAGCCAGCCAATGTCAACGCTGAGTGTATTTCCTCATGTCCATCCTGGTGGACCTTGATGGTCACGACCTCCTACCAGAACTTCAAGCAACTTCATCCTCTAATCCCAGTTACTAGTAAGCGCTAGATTAACCTTCAACTATCGGTTTTCGGGTTTTCAATGGTTCCCCAACTAAGGTCATATAAGCTAAGTCATATAAAAGAAGCGGTGTTCACAGAAGAATTACTCTTTTGAACGATACCATTCTCATGCTGCACAATCAATCGCTACATTCTTAAATCAACTACAGGTGTGTTTCCAAAGAAGTGTCATTAAAATTGAGAGTTTAAGGTAACAATTATGTAATACCCGATCAGTGGCTTCTACATTACGTAATTGTTATCTGACATCATTGAAAACAATCCTTCAGTTTCAATTATTAGATTTTTGTCACAAACTAACAACATCAGTTACAGAGATGATTGAAAACCAAGAGCACTGGATGGCCGTTTCTTCCTACACTGGGACTCCCTCAGAGGTGGACACCCACGACCCCGCTGGATATCGAACCCGGGACCGCCAGGGTGCGAGACCAAACTAGTTGACCACTAAGCCACTTGGGCTGGAGGAATTCAATAACTCCTGGATTCTAACTTTGTCAATTCATGATACAGCCCTGCGCTCATTAATGCTTTAATGAGTGTCCATCAGTTGATGTGACAATGTGCCATATACACATGCAATTGTACAGCCTAAATAAAAAAAACAATAAAATAAAAATAGTCACTTATTATACCGATATTCAAGAAGGGAAACAAATCCTCATGTGATAATCATAGGGGGATCAGTCTAACGAATATAGTTTCTAAAATACCACGCTCAGTAATCATGCACAGACTAAGCAGAACTCGGGAAGAACAGACGAGGGAAAATCAAGCAGGCTTTAGACCAGGTAGAGGGTGCATAGATCCTATCTTCACTCTCCGACAGATTCTAGAACATAGACACACTTTTCGGCATCCAACAATTGCCATATTTCTTGACTTGAAGGCGACCTTCGACTCCGTGGATCGAAAAGCACTATGGCAATGTTTGACTGTGAAGGGAGTGCCAAGAAAGTACATTGCACCAATCAAGGCACTCTATTCGAACTCACGTAGCCGTGTAAGGGCTTATGGGGAATTGTCATCTGAATCGATAACGGCCAGTGGTGTCCGACAGGGATGTCCACTTTCCCATTTCTGTTTAACTTCATCATAGATATGCTAATGGAACTATCCTTAACTGAACTTAACGACTTAGGAATCGACTTGTTACCAGGGAATAGTCTTATGGACTTAGAATATGCAGATGACATAGTCCTGTTAGGGGAGGATGCTAACAAAATGCAGAGTCTTCTGAACACCTTGAGCAGCAATCTTCGTATGTTTGGCATGCGATTCGCCTGTACAATGTAAGATGCTGCTACAGGACTGGACTACGTCAACTCCTACCTTAGTGATAGGGAGTGAAGTGATAGAACATGTTGACCACTTCACCTATTTGGGAAGTTGTATCAGCACCAACGGACTGATCGGCGACGAAATCTCAGCACGGATCCAAAAAGCTCGAACTGCTTTCGCTAACTTACACCACCTCTGGCGTAGGCGTGACATCCGGCTATCAACCAAGGAACGTCTGTACTACTCAGCAGTTCACTCCGTCCTTCTTTATGGCTCTGAAACATGGCCAATACGAGTTGAAGACATGAAAAGGTTGACTGTTTTTGATCAGAGATGTCTACGATCTCTTTCTCACGTTAGGTGGTATAATAAGGTAAGTAATATTGACATTAGGCGTAAAGTGTTGGGCAAACAGGGAAAATCAATCAACGAGGCTATAAAGTTACAAAGATTGAGATGGCTAGGTCACGTGCTGCGCATGCCTAACCATCACCTCCCCCGACGGGCATTACTAGCTGATATAGGTGCAGGCTGGAAAAGAGTAAGTGGTGGCCAAACAAAAACATGGCCTCATCAATCCATGGAATCCTTGACAGTTAAACTAAGTCAGGTAGGGATATGCAGACTTCCAGGTTGGGGCCCTCGGGACTCTAAGAATCAATGGCTGGGGAGACAATAGGTGACATGGCTCAAAATCGCCGCGCCTGGGCAGCGATGATTCGAGATGTTCATGAAGCCGGTTCATCCTCCCGTAGGAGATAGCCGGAGTAAAGAAGATGGCTCAAAATCGTTGTCAGTGGCGCAGATGTATTCAGTCTCTGTAATCTTTCATATTCCTTTCTACCATTACCCATTCTGTTTCACTCTTATACTTGTCAGACTGTATTGATTCTCTTCACTCATCTTCTTGTCTACCTTTGTGTACTATTTGGAACGTGGCAACTCGAACTGCTGCACTTCGATGCCAAGTTCTACATTGAATCCAGACAGACAGACAAATAAAAATGAAATTTTTCTAGAAAGTAATTAAGGCATTTCACTCTCGCCTATAGATAACCTTATAGTATCAATACAAGCTTATAATAAAACTCAGGTGACATGAACTCATTATTACTGACCTGTTGATGAGATAATTGTCTTGTATGCGGATTAGGCTGCTGACCACCACCAGTAGTATTCATGTGTTGTTGTTGGTGGTGGTGTGTTGGTGGTTGATTTCCACCAGCTCTTTGCTGTTGAGATTGTTGCTGAGTTGTTGTTGTTGGTGGTGGTGGGGGTAATTGTGGTTGTGCACCACTGTTTCCCCGTTGTTGTTGTTGTTGTTGAGACTGCTGTTGTTGTTGCTGTTGAGATTGATGAGCATGAGTATGCATCCCCGTAGGATGTGCAGCAGTTTGTCGACTAGCACCACCACCACCAGCTCCAGCTGCAGTCTGTTGTTGTTGTTGTTGAGTAGGTTGTGTTACATTTTTATCTGCACCAGTTTGTTTTTCATCTGCATCATCATCAGAGATGAATTCACGTTTAGGATAAGGAATAGGCAGATTTCCAAAAACGCTACAGAAAAAAGAGGACAGAATTTAAGTAAAAGTAAAAGTGGAAACCTACTGCATTCAGGATAGTAATGAAGATTCACATCTTCAAGGCTAATGTCGAATCAGTGCTTCTATACGGTTCAGACCACTTGGTGCAAGCGTCAAAGAAAGCATTTCAAACAGCCTGTGGCAGACTTTTATCAACAGCTGCCTTCTCTACCTCCGTATACCTGAAGACAAGATGCCCGGAAGGAATTTATTATTATTATATCCTTTAGTTCCTAGAGGAACATATGGCTTCAGCCGCGCGTCTCCAATGAGTTCGGTTTTCTGCCAACTTTTTCACCCCGCTCCAAGTCTGCCGACATGCTTTCATCTCCTTTTCACATGACCTCCTCCAAGTCACCCTTGCACTGACGACCAACTCGCCGCTTCCCATTCAGGTTTCACTCGAGACCCTGGCGTATGATGTCACTTGATGGTTTCCTCAGAGTATGGCCAATCCATCTTCATTTCTTCCTGCCTAGTTGTTGCACAATCGGTTTCTGGTTGGTTCGCTCAATAGCAGAGATCCCTATTGCTGATTTTTTCTGGCCGGCCATCTGATCTTGAGTATTGAGCGAAGACAACTGTTAATGAAATTCTGAAGTTTGTTTCAGATGCTCTTCATGATGTGCAGTGCAAGTCTCTGATCCGTATAGTAGCACTGACTTCACATTGGAGTTGAAAATCTGGATCTTATTTTTGACGCTGAATGCTGTTGACCTCCACACAGACTTGAGAGTAGTGAAAGCTTGTCTTGCTTTTCCGATTCTGGCTTTGATATCCTCGTCAGTTCCTCCTGTAGTTGAAACGATACTTCTCAGGTAGGTAAAAGAGGTTGTTTCTTTCAGGTTCCTCCCATTTACGCCAGCTGATTGTTGTCTGTTGTTGTTGTTGCTGTTGGTGTTGGCCAGGAATCTTCATCACCTCTGTTTTCTCTATGTTCACCTGAAGGAAGTCCTATCTTTGATGCTTCTTCTGCCGACTTGTTACTTCTCACTTGCATATCTTCCAGTTTGTGAGAAATCAGGCATATATCATCGGCGAAGTCCAGATCCTCCAAGTCTTTTGTGTCAGTCCATTTTATGCCTGTTTCCTCATTGCCTGTTGTCTGTCGCGTTATCCAATCTACTGCAATCAGGAAGATCATTGGTGATAGTAGACAGCCTTGTCTCACTCCGGTTTTCACTTTGAAGGCTTCCGTAAGTTTCCCGTTGTGGATTACTTGGCATGCAGCATTGTCGTATAACTGTTGGATGAGATGTATAATTGTCGATGGCACCCCTTGGTAGTAGCAAAGTAGTTGCCAAATCACCTCTCGATCGACGCTGTCGAAGGCCTTTACAAAGTCTAGATACAATACAGGGAACAAACCAACAAAGAACTCATTACTCAATAAATATGTCACAGAAAATAGAGATAGAACAGACATACACTGAAGAGACTATTCGGTAATATCTTGCGCCACACCCTCGAGTGGAACCTGAATGGGAAACGACACATTGGACATCCAAGAATAACATGGAGGAGATTATATGAGGAGTAGAAGGAGGAGACGAGAGCCTACTAGTAATAGTAGGGCTGGTTAAAGAAAACTGAAGGGAACACGACAAAATGAAGACGTATTTTTGAAGCCCTATGTTCCACTCAGAACCCTGTAAAGCTACGAAGTGTTTAGGCGTTTTCATCCCGTTTATTATGAACAAAAATGTACTTAAGCAACACTTTGATAATTTCGGTGGAATGTGTTTAGAAATATGTGGCCCAAGTGGCCTAGTGGATAACGCTCCGGTGTTTGAAACGATGACCACTGGGTTCAAGCCTCAGTGGGAACGCCATCAGTCACTGGGGAATGCAGACACAACCAGATGACGAGTTTCCAACAGTAAGACTAAATGTGCGTCCTGGATTCCACTGTCAGTTACCATTCATCAAATTACTTCAAGAATACGCTTTGTCTATGCAAACTTAGAAAATTGAACAATTATTCAGAAATATCGCTAATGAATCAAAACTGTCATCTTACTCATCATTCGGTTTTTCACCCTCTTTAAAGTAGGTATCTTCCATGGCTTCAGCGGCAGATAAACGTTTCACCGGATCCATGGTAAGCAAACGCCGGAGCTGTAAAAAGAAATAAAAGTAGTCAAGAGGGAGATATGTTTTCTAATGAGAATATTAGGCCAGTTAACGAACAAATCGTGAAACTTCTGCCTTGAGTAGTTCAGTGACACAAACTGTGCTTCATAAAAAAAGTCTGATATGAATTTCTCCATGAGATATTTCTTTACACTGACAATTTAAGACTTCCACTCTAAGATGAAATGTCTTCACTGTGGATGCAAGCTGAACAGCTGCTATAACTGTTAATTGGACTAAGACTAACTTCTTGCCAAGTAAAAACGCTCACATAATAATACAGAGTCGTTGTAACACCTTTCCTTGAACAGAAACCCTGGAATATCACTGTTGATGATCCCAAACTAGGATGAAACAGCTGTCTGGAAGTACTCCCTGGTTTTCAATGGTTCTACAACTGATATCAATCCGTGGTCAAACTCGTAAAAACAAATTAGGCATTTCTCCACGAAATGGGAGACTAGATCGACTAGAACTAAGCAAAACGTTATCGGCATAAAGTTGAAAAACCTATCGAATCATCTTTAAGAGTCGATCAAAATTCTTCAACATATGATAACAAAGTTTATTGCATCGCAATGAAGAATCACTCTCAATTAAACAACCATACTGGAACATTCAGTTATTTTTCACTTCACCGCCATTTCACCCATTTCTACTATTTATTTACTTAATTGTTTATTCTATTCCAGTGGGTCAATAGCATACGAGTTCACCTTATAGCCTAACAGTCTTGGATTCGAACTCGGGTATGTTCATGTATGTATTTCTGAAGAGTATCAAACAAGGACGAAACAACGGTTCAATACTCCCTGATTTTCTATGGTTCTTTAGCTGAAGACAATTCATGGCCGGAACTGAAATCAATCAAATGCCCTTAAACCAACATTTGAAAATGTTTGTTTTATATAAATTAAAAAGGATAAATTCTTATGAAATGAACAAGTAGTAGTACTTGGGAATATACTTACCAGCGTTAATTCTCTTTCGTCTACTTTGAACTTTTTCTCTTCAAGATAACCCTCCAATGAATACTTGCCATATGTTTTTTTGCTGATAGAATCACGCATTAATTGATGATAATCTGGCATCTTTTTCATATCAACCCAAGCATCATCTAAAGAAAGAGGCATGTGTGTGTGAGTCAGAGAATAAGAAAAATTACACGGATTATATACATAATTAACAATCTTACAAGGTATATATATAACACTATATACTAGGAAGATAAGACGAAATCAAAAACAGATCTACAGAAGGGTAATATGAAACGTTGGGAAAGCAATAGATGGCAATTGTTCACTGCGACCCTTGACACGCTGTTATGTGTTACTGGACACATTTCGACATATTAATCGCAAAACTATTAATTTTCAGGTGATAGAAAGTTCTAGTGCAATTGCAAGCCTCAAATTTTTATTGACTGTGTGTGGTAGTAACTCAAGACTAATCCACTTTACCATTTAGTACTTAAAGAAGAAATCATTTTCTAGGGTGTACGTAACCAGAAAGAAGCAGCAGTCATTGGCAGGCACAATCCGTCTATTCGTCACTAGCTAGCTAGCTACATCATTCGGCTCCGCTTTATCACCACTACTAGTGCCATGTGATACACAGATTCCTCGCCGCTTCCCATTAATCCTGTTACCCCTGATAACTAAGTGAATCAGAAAAACACCATTCCAAGGCACTTAAAATCATGCCATCGACTTCATATTCAGGCTCTCAACACTTCCAAACTTATGCCCGATCAACGACAGGCCTCACTAGCCAAAACTCCAACATCTCAGGCTATGAATGCTTGTTATCTCGTAAACATACAGTCAAAACAAAACCCCAAGTGGACAATATGGTGAATTTAGAAAATCCACCCTATATGTGTCAGGAAATTCTTCAACTACTTGGTAGGAGCTCCCCCTAGTGCAGGAATCTAACCGGACACTGGAACAAAAAGCTAACTACTCCACTGGACCTCAATGGGTAGTCGTGGTGTCCAACTGAATGCATCCGCAAGAATGAGAAGGGGTTATAATACACATCAATACTCTTCCATAGCTACCAATTTTCGCACCAACTCACAATTCGGATGAAGGCAAAGGATGAGTTTTATCAAAAGCTGTTTATTAGTTTGCTGTTAAAAGTAGACCACTCTGATATAGTTATCTTAACAGATGATTTCAATACTCCTCAAGTAAAGAAACTGGTCCAGTCTGATGTACTTCCATGTCCATGAATTGATATGGTCAGTAAAATCTTACACAACAAAATTAGTGGTTTATAACTATAGGTTTCATCGTCCAAGTACTGGTGTTGGGTGAAGTAGAATGTTGCGTAATAATGAGTTTCAGCGTACTGTTGGATACAGAGGACGAGTCAACCACTGAGATTTTGAAGCCACATTGACTGAGATGGCTTGGATATAAGCATGTGCCATACATGCATATATAACCAGTGCTTCCGTCAATACATATTAATACTAACTGACGTAAGATTAAATTAGAAGCCAATGGTCAGACCAAAACATGGAAGTTATCTATAAAGTCACAAACTACCTGTTTGAGCCAGGCGAGTAAGAGTAGAATACCTTCCTAAAGTCTCTGATTTAACACTCTCTGTAAAATAGCTTAAAAGCGTTCACAGTGTCACAGACGTCTTCAACTCTGTGTTATCACCCAGATCTACAAAATTTCCAATAATATTCATGTCCAAGTGTTGGTTTTTGTAGGGATTTGATTGGTTACAAGATTTAATCATGAACTGACATCAGTTAGAGAACCAACACTTGAATACCAATAAGATGCTCACTGGCGACTGGCCCTATTCAGGTAGGTAGTTACCTGGGTTCCAGTGGGAAGTCGTGACCAGTAGGGTGCAGCTGGTCGGGTGTGAGGACAAATACTCGCCGAAGACATTGGCTAGCGGTCGCGCTATGTCGTGAATTGGCAGAAGTTAGAATTCAAGGACCATTGGATCGGGTCCCAGTGGCTTAATGGTATACGAGCTCGCCTTGTAACCGGAAGGTCCTGGGTTCGAATCCCGGTGGGTGCGTACTGCTAAAGAGTCCCAAACTAGGACGAAACAGCTGTCCAGTACTCCCAGGTTTTCCAATGGTTCTCTAACTAATGTCAGCTCATGATGAAATCCTGAAATCAATCAAATCCCTACAAACCAACACTTGAGTTAGAGAACTATTAGAAAACCCACCAAGGAGTATTGGACAGTCGTTTCATCCTAGTTTGAGACTCTTCAGCAGTACGCATCCACCGGGATTCGAACCCAGGGCCTACTGGTTACAAGGCAAGCTCGTATACCACTAAGCCACTGGGACCCGATCTAATGCCCCATGAATTCTAACTTCTGCCAATTCACGACATAGCGCGACCCCTAGCCAATGTCTTCGGCGAGTATTTGTCCCCACACCCGACCTGCTGCACCCTACTGGTCACGACTTCTCACTAGAACCTCAGGTAACTACCTACCTGAATAGGGCAAGTCGCTAGTGAGCATCTCATTGATATTTAAGTGTTGGTTTTTGTAGGAATTTGATTGGTTACAGGATTTCATCATGTTTTTTCCAGCGCATCCATGTTTATCCATCCCGGTATCATTTAATTTCTGTCCGCCTACTTTGTGTGTCTTTTCGAAGAGTGGTAACTTTGAACTGATACACTTTTATTGCAAAGTCCTACAATGGGATACTCCGGTCATTGAGTCTATCCTTCTATCACAAAGAACAAGTAAAACTCGCCGCAGACAGTCTTTCGGAATAACCATTAGGAGACCTTAGATAAAAAGATTATGAGCAGAAATCACTCCCAATGGGAATATGAATATATATATCTAATCTACAAAATACCCTTGGAATGATTGTGATGTCAACTGCTTGGTTCAGATCCGTAGTTCTATTAGGGTAGTTTGACTATTGGCTAAGTGTAAAATGATGGACCCCACAAAGATGAACAATTTAGAAAAAAACTCAGTAATTCCACTGCATAAACTAACATACAATAGTGCGATGTAGAGCTACAGTGATAATAAGAATACAACTTGGGCACTGTGGTACAGTATAACCGCATAATAGAATAAATTGATTTCATAAAATCACACAGTATTATGCAGTATTACTCACTGTTATGATTATGAGCAACAAACTGTGCCTGGAAAGCCGTCATCCGTAGATATTACTGTATAATACTGTGAGACCTTATCAAAATATATTTTCTCCATAATGGAATACTGCGTATAACACTATGATTTGATCAAATAAATAAGTTTACTGTATGAGATAACAACAGCTCCGAAAAGTAATATAAGTAGGTGGAGGGGGATAGGTTAATTACTGAACCTTTATTCGTCGACTCTTCTTTGATTGGACACTACGTAGAAACTAGTATCATGCGTCTAGTCCTTTGTATGGTGCAGACTGAACTCCATCAGTAAAGTTTGCAATGTGGCCACCATGCTAAGTGGCAAACCATCACAGTGAACTCTGAACTGTTGTCACTAGATGGTTGAAGGCAGCCTTGGACCTAGATTTCGTGCTTGTTGGTACTCACCAGTCAACAAGGCATACCTACAATCTCGAAGGAATTAATGTCCCCTCTGAGATTCGAACCCGTGTCCGTCAGTGCTGCCTACTGTAGGAGTCGTCACCAGTGAGTTATTCGAGCTCACGACTGACCCTCCTGTAGGACTGTATCGGACAATCTGAATGGACACTAGGTAGCAAGTAACTAGTATAATGCGTCTATTCCAATAGTGATGACTCAATGCAGATACCAGAGATACGGAAAATATTATTGTCAAGGAAATCAAAGGATAAAGAAAAGTGGAAATATATAAATGACGTTTGAAAGTTATGCAAGTTGCTTGATATGATTATGAACAATAAATAGTGCTTGAAATGTTGTCATCAGTAAATAACACTTTCATATCATTTACACAGATTTAACATATTACACCGATGCTTATATTCATACTGAACTAATCTCAAACCGGTGATCTAAACCGTCTTTGAAAGATTTGACACAATTAAACGGTTACACAGTTATACAGTACTTAAAAATTCAATTACATTTATCACAAAATATACAGTAGATGTAAAGCCTAAGTTCTGATATGGATTAAAGTTATAACAAACAGAAGTCAGAAAATAATTACAATAGACCAAACGTTTGGTGGGTAGGTACTGGCAGTGGAATCCAGTATGCGCACAAGAAGCCAAACACTTCGTTCCAATCAGTCAACGGGAAAGTCCAAATTGAATTAAATAACAACTCATACCCAATGCAAAAGAGATGGCTCTCCTGGCCCAGATGGTCTAGTGGATAACGCTTTAGCGTTTGAAACGATGGGTACTAGGGTTCAAACCTCATTGGGAACACCATCACTCACTGGAGAGTGCAGGTACACCCGGACGACGAGTCTTAAATGGGATGAAATGCACATTACAAAAGGAAACCTTCATAGTCTTTGCTGTAAGTCTCACTCTGACATAGAGTCAGGTTTACGGTTGAGGTTAGTTTAGGGTTAGAGTTAGAGTAGAGTTTCGGTTATGACACGGGTAGGTTCGGATTAGAGTCAAGGTAGGTTTACGGCTTCTGTCTTTTTTTGTGTGCATTTCGGTTTACGGCTACGACTCGGGTTAGGGTGGAACTTGCAATGAAGATTACGGACAGCATCCATTTGATATTCTGAGCGTTGTGACTATCATTATGAGGATATATCCATCATAAAGCCAATCATTCATGAGGACTGGTATTCATACAAATTCTGCTGAAGGATTTTGGACATATCAGAGAAACGGATTAGAATGGTATACGTTTGTAACCACTCCTATTTTTAAAAAATGGGACTTCTTTATGAAGTATATAGTTCATTTTTATTATGTATACATATCCTGTAAATATACACTATAAAAGATTATCATACCTGGAGGATAACCCATTACACGAAATATTCGTTCTAATTGTTCTTTATGATAAGGTGTACTTGTCTTAATATCCTCTTGACGACAATGAAATATCGGTTCATAGGTCAACAATTCAGCGAATATACAACCAATAGCCCAAATATCAATTGCTTTCGTATAATGTCTTGCACCCAACAATAGTTCAGGTGCACGATACCAAAATGTTACAACAACAGGATCCAGATCCGCTAACGGTTTTAACGGTTGATAAAATAGACGAGCGAAACCCAAATCAGCTATTTTAACACGACCTCTATCTGGACCTTCACCCATGACAAGAATATTTGCTGGTTTCTAAGTAAGGATTTGAAAAAATAAAACTTGTTACCCCTATCCAATTATATAAATATACATATAGTAATAAGAGTGTCAGTTAGTGTATTTAAAAAAAATTACTATCACTGAAACCAATAGGCACTAATAAATTTGAAAGAGGTTACTTCGTTTACTCATCTAGGCAGCATCGTTTCAACTACAGACAGGACAGAAGAGGATTTTAAGGGCAGCATCGGAAAGGCAAAACAGATCTTTATTATTGTGAATTCAGTTTGGAAATCTACTGCACTGAGCACAAAGAACGAAATTCGGGTTTTTCAACACCGATGTTAAGTCAGTCAGTCAGTCAGTTCTTTTATATGGGTTAGAAACTTGATGCATCACAAAAAGCTTTTCCAGCAGGCCATTGAAGACTTTTATCAACATCTGCGCCTTTACTCGATACTGAAGATTAGATGGTCAGAAAGGATTAACAACAAGGAACTCTGAGAACTAACCAGTCAAAAATCTATTGGTAATACTAGTCAAGAAAATTAGGTGTTAATGAATTAGGTTAGTAACAAAGTTGATGAGTTGTCGCAAACAGTTCTTAAAAGAAGTTATGCAATAATATGAACAGTTTGATGAGTGAGTTTTGATTTTGATGACTTAATTTTGTTTCTTTGCCTGTTTTTTAGTTGCTTAGAATTTTTGTATTCATTCAGAACTCTTACGTAATTTCGTATTATCTACTTTGTTTCTATGTGCATCCTGAGTAAAACTCACTCATCAAACTATTCATATTATTACATAACTTCTTTTAACAAGTGTTTGTGACAACTCATCACCTTTGTTACTAACCTAATTCCATTACCACCTAATTTTCTTCACTTGTATTACCATTCTTCACCTGCTTAGTTAAAATAACCAACTGTAATTTTGTTTGAAAAACTTAATATACACATACATACAAAAAATCTGTTGCTCAACAAGTATTTCAAAGAAAATTGAGATGGATCCAAAACACACTGAGTAGACCGCTGTGTGACATAACGTGTCAGGCATGGATAAGGGGACAGGTTGGACATGTGTCCGAGGATGATATGGAGGAAACCGTATGAAGAGGAGATAAAAGCATATGGACAATCGTAGGGCCAGCTGAAGAGGACTGTGGAAAACAGGATAAAGTGAAGGCGAGTTGTTGAAGTCCTATGTTCCACTCGGAACCCAAGGAAAATAATGATACTACAATAATAAATACGTGGAAGGGTTACGTAATAATGTATTGTCACATGCAGTCTGTATTCAAGGCAACTCAACATTATATGATTACAATAATAACAAGAAAATTTAAGTTTTTTTAATTATTACAATTTAAAAAAAAACTAACCAAATCTCGATGTAAAATCCAATTATCGTGTAGATAATGAATACCGTTCAGTATTTGATACATTAAACTTTTCACCATATTTCCATAAACTTGAACTATACTTTTATTTGCTTTAGTTGTTCTATGAAATTTGATAATGTGCCAAAGATCATGTTCTGCAAAATCGAATAACAACCATACTCGCCTAGTTGTGTGATTAAGAAAAACACGCTGTAGTGTAATAACATTTGGATGTTTCAGTTCACGAAGAAGCTAAATTTTGACAGGAAATTTACGCGTTATTGCTATTTACAAATATCTTACAGCAATTTCTCGGCATGCAGACATTGATAAACCAGTGCCTTCGATTTGTTTGAGAGCATATTCTCTATTATCTGCACCATCTTTGCGTTTAGCTTTGTAAACACTGCCATATGTTCCACGACCAACTTTACATCCTTCAAAGTCAAAATGATCTTCTACTTTTTCTCGGATCTCATTTAATTTCCGTTTGAATTCTGCATCTACCATTTTTTCATTATGTGTATTTTAAAAGGTGACAGCTTTGTAGACTACAAAAAGTATAAGAGAAAATTGCAGTTTTAAAGTACCATGTCTAGGAACTACATGACACTAAATGAAACCAAAATAATGTGCATCAGTGGCAGGAAGGCAGAATGCTTACCAGCCACCTACGTATTCCGACGATAGATCACTATCCAACGCATGTCTACACCTCGCTAAGCTGGAAATAAGCCCAGCAAAGAAGGAAGGTTGGGGGTGGAAAAAATAAGATCACTGCTACCGAGACTTCAAAGCTGAAGATTAAAGCCCTATATCCCACTCAGAACGCAAGGGAATGAAAAATAAATAAAACAATAAAGTAGCTTGAAAATAATCACTACCAAGACCACTTCTTTTCGTCATTCCTTACATAGCCAGTAGAAAATACGGTTTTAGGCTTCATAGCTTTAATAGCAGTGCAGTTCTTTTACGAATAGTTACCAGCTTTATGCCAAACTTTTCTCCTTTTGCAGTCTTACTATCAGCTGGGAAACTAGGCAAGACTTACGAGTGAGTCAGCTGAAAATCAAACTCGGACATCCCACGTGACTGGCGAGCACTCCAAGACTGAACCACGGAAACACTTGATCACTGGACAATGTTATTAGGTTGCCGAGATTATCTGAAAAATGTGATGCATTTGAGCAATACATTTTGAACAATCTGATCACACACATTTACTTGTCAAAGCAATTTATGTGAAAATAGAAGACCAGTTAAAATAAACAAAGGCGATAAGGGATTTAAGAATAAGACTACTTAACACAGCCTTTGGTAATATAATCAGATAAGGATTACCAATGTAGGTTATGTTACTAAACGTAGTGTTCATTATTCGTATTTTTCTTATTCTTAAATCCATTACCATTTTGTTCATATTGATTAGCCTAATATTTCTCATAAAAATTCACTTAGCAAGTAAATGCGTGATCAAACTGTTCGACATGTATTGGGCAAATATAATCAAATTTACCAAAAAAATCACTGTGAAACGTATGATGATGTCAGAGGACTAGACTACATCGACTCCCATCCATCCCCTTTCTTGATGAGCAATGTTAGCTGACACAGATTCAGGTTAGAAAAGAGCTAGTGGTGGTCATACCACAATTTGGCATAATACTTATTTTGAGCAAAGTAAAGGGTAACGACTGCCTGGTTCCCAAGCTTACAACAATTCTAAACTTGTTCTGACCTGTTCTTCGATATTGCCTTTTTATGGTAAATGAAGATTTTATCTTCCCACTATGTTCTAAAATAACGCTGGTCGTGCTTAAAAATGGAGCTGGGTGCTGAATTAAATATTTTCGTTCCGAATTAACCGTGCTCACCGTGCTTAATATATCCTGTGAGGGCTGAAACAACGCTGGTAAGCAAACCCTGAAGATGCCTAGAAAAGAGCGCAGTTGTGCTCAACTTCTCATAAGAAATTTACTACTTATCGCTAAGTAAGATACTCGTGGTAACTGGCAGTGAGAAGAATAAATTTCAAGAAATAAAATAGTTCCGTTCAGTGAGTTCAAATAGGTATGTAAATGTAGGTTAACAAGTAGTGCTACCATTATCATCAACTTTAAGACAAACTCAGTAGCGTACATTTCGCATAGTGCGGTAAACCCCCAGTCTTCAGGGCAGGTTCCAATATCACATATCGTTTTTACGAGCTAGTATAATCCAGTTTGATTTCTTTGTGCTCGCTTCTTGATTGTAAGGTATAGGTTCCTGATCTTCGGTAAACTTCTGCGTAGCTCGTCCCGCCACTCGACTGTCGTAGCTTTGGTTGACTCCAAAGGGAGTAATGCTGGGATTAATTACATGTGGTTTGTAGTATGAGGTGTGTTAAGACTGTTACTAGTGTGAATGGAGTTGATCTTTTCGCCAGTTAGTCTTCCGGTATCGTCGAGTTATTCAGACTAACTGAAAGAAACGGAAATAGGAAAGCGTAACAACAGTCAGCTGATTAAATTTGAAGAATTATATATATATTTATATCGGTAATAATAAGCGCAGTTAAAGTTGTCAGGGGAGTAAGACGGGAGAGAACGTAAAGAAGTAGAACAACGAGTTTAATTGTCTACCTCTGAATGGTGTATGCGACTTTAAGGGGATAGGCCATTTGGATGCATTCCCTATGTCGCTGTATGGCTGTCCAGCCTTCGCTTAAAGGCGTCCAAAGACGGTGCCATAGCTACATCTGCCAGTAAGGAATTCCAGGGACGACAAACCCGCAGTGAAAAGAAGTGGGAGCGCACCCGGGTCCTTGCCCTCTGGTGAGCTATCCTTCTGGGATTTCCACGTGGAAGCCTATACCTACTCAATGGCAGAACACCTTTGTTTGGGTGATTCTGGTCATTTGTTATTTTGTAGGCAGTAATCAAATCCCCCCTCAGCCGACGGTAACTAAGTGTGAACAGGCCTAATTTCTTCAGCCTTTCATCATATGGTTTGTTTCGGAGACCAACCACTCCTTTTGTTGCCCGTCGTTGGACTCTTTCCAAGAGGTTGGCATCTCTTCTCAGCATTGGGGGTGCAATAATATTATGCACCTCAAGGTGTGGCCTGACGTACGTTTTGTACAACATTAGAAAGAGCTCAGGAGTGAGTGCACCTAACTGTCTATGCGTAAAGTGTATGACCGCATATGCCCTCGCTACATCCCCTGTGTAATTTACGCTTGTGTCCATTTTTTCCGTTAGAACTAGACCTAAGTCGCGTTCCGACGTTGTGCAGGACAAGCTTTCATTGCACAGGGTGCAACTTGCATTCTGCAGTCTACAGGTGCGCAACTTCACTACTTTGCACTTTTTCAAGTTGAAAGTCATGCCACTGGCCACCGCCCAGTCTTCCAGAAGGTTTAGGTCTTCCTGTAGCCTATCTGAGTCCTCCGGACACTTTATTGCCCTCCATATTTTACGTCGTCAGCGTATAGGAGTCGGGCAGCTTAGACAGCGTGGTAGATCGTTGATGAAAATCAAAAACATCAGTGGTCCTAGGATAGAACCCTGCGACACTCCTGATGACGAGCTGTGCCAAGATGATCGGACTCGGCTAACCTTAGTGCAAAATTGCCTGTCGGCTAGGTAGTCCTTCAACCATGACAGAAGTGGCTCACCTATGCCTGCCTGGCTTATTTTATGTAGGAGAAGGTCATGGTGAACAGTGTCAAATGCCTTCTCAAAGTCTAGGAAGACCACATGGACTGGTACGTTCATGTCCCAGCATGATGTCCAGTCGTCCCAAGCTGACAGTAGGTTAGTGACGCAGGATCTGCCTTTTCTGAAACCATGTTGGGCTTCATGTAGTATATTAGTCCTATCGAAATATTCCCTGATGTGGTCGTCAATAATACTTTCCAGTACTTTTGATACCACTGGGAGTAGAGCTACTGGTCTATAGCTAGCAGCGTTTTGCCTGTCCCCACCCTTGAAAATTGGAGAAAGGATGGCTCTTTTCCACTCCCTTGGCAGGGTCCCCGAATCCATTGAGTGTTGGAACAAGTCGCACAGGGGTCTACAGAGAGCCTCAGCGCACTGTTTCAGAACAGATGGCCTGATGTCATCACAACCTGGGGACTTCCCAGGTATGAGTTGCTGTAGCTTCCTTAGTACTATTGCGGGGTTTATTTGGGGAGTAGTCGCTAGGTCTTCCTCCTCTGAAATAGTGGTGCCACCATTTTGGTCCGTAACTGTAAAATCCACATTGCTGTTTAGCTGTTTAGCGAAGGCTGAACTGAATGTTTCAGCCATCTCCAGACTAGTGAGATATTGACCGTTTGGGCCTACTAAGGCGCATGCCCCTTGGTTTGTCGGTTTTCTTTCCGACATGAATCGGTACAAGTTTTTAGGGTTTTATAGGAGTTTTTTAGCAAGGTTAGCCTGGAATGACCTTCTGTCCCTCCTGACTCTTGCATTACACCGGTTCCTGAGTTCGAGGTATGCATCATGGTCGGTCTGACTCTTAGATACACGCCACGTAAACCAAGCCTTCCGCTTTGCTTGCAGAATACGTTGCGTGCCTCTCTTCAACCATGACGTCTTTCTCTCAGGCTGTGTTGTGACTAAAGGGACGGTATCCGAGATTGCATATTGCAACTTATCTGTTGAGGATGTACTACGAAACCTGTTGCACTCACTAAGTTTATATGCATTACTAGACATCATGGAGCCTTCTCGATATCCACCTCTCTGAGGCCTACTCGTCATCAATGATTGCATTTTGATCTCAGAATGCTCTATTCTAGGGGTGAGATCTAATAGACTGGCGAACTTGCTCATAGATTGATTGACACTATCTTTTACCAGTTTCAGGATATCATCAAACTTTGGCTCGATACCCTCATCCTCCATACGGGAGCTCATCTTCACCCACTTCCTTTGCAGTCGAGTAGGTTGACGTCTTGCTATTACTTCTAGCATAAAACTCGAGTTGAGGTCACTCATTCGATTCATCGAAATCATTCCATTCTTGTAAATTAGCAAATTATCTAAAAACTCAGTGAGTGCCTGGGAGTCATCCTGTAATTGACCACCATTACCCTTAACAGCCTCGAATAATTTCCCTGCAATCATCGAAGGTCTTCCAAACCTTTGACGTAATATGCTCATAGCCTCATCGTAGCCCTCTTTTGGCTTCATAAACTTACAGCACTGTATAGCTCTTGCAGCATCTCCAGTGCAATATCTCATCAAATACATTAACTTCAATTCATCATTTAATAAAAAAACCACTCAACATGATCTCAAACTCCTTTACAAATTGTAAATAATCAGCCGGGTTTCCATCAAAACATCGTGGTTCAAATTTAGGGAGTTTGATGTTCCTATTATCCCTGAACGGCGAAACAGTAACATCAACCATGTCATGCCTAACATCAGACACATCGTTACAATTAACAGACAAGTCACCATGACTTACTTTCCTGTTTGCATCCAAGACACTCTGTCCCTTCTTTGGCCCAGGCATTGTTGAACTTGACCCAATTCCAAAAAAGTTCCAGATATTACTTGTTCAAAGAGGACTTGACCGGCACCAGGAAAGATGAACGGCGACTATCCAAACTTTCACCAACTGTTTCAATCCGCCAGATCTGTTTCTATCGTCAGAAACTGTCAATCAAGTCTCATAAACCGTTAATGCCCAGCTCTCGCTACGCTCGGGCCCACGCTGTTCCTTTGAGTTTTCAGAAACGCTTAGTAATAACGGACGCAAAAACCAAAACACCGATTGGCCGCTTGAGATTTCTTTATTGTTACACCAACATATAAAAATAATAACTGAACTAAGGTCTGAAAACAAATATTACAATAATAAATCATAAGATTACTTCTGACGATGTTTCACTCTTCTTTCTGAACAGCGACCGATGAGACGATGACTGTCGTATTGATGCCTCCGCGAAAATTGGGGAAGTTGATTTTGAGCAAACAACCAAGAATTGATCGTTCAATCTTCAACTCCATTGACACTCCCCGGCAAAAAGGGGATCCAACCCTTTTTTCCTTCACGACCAATGCACGTTGACTTGGATGCCATTGCGAGAACCTGGGTCACACGGACAGAGCTGAAATGGAAAACAAACAGAAAAGCCAACACACCACAAGCATACCCACAGCACAATCTCACACATCGCTGACGACCTGCGCCTCCAGAAAGAGACCTCCTCTTGACATCTTGCAACACAATCGCCACTTGCTAGAATGACTCTTGCAGAATGCAAAGTGACCATGGCAGCACCTCACGATACTCTACGCACATCCTCTTATCTACTCATTACCAATTACCACTGAAATCGCTTGTCACTCATTCTGCCTCAGTTCTAGTAGCGGTGACGCATGCGAGCCTCAGTCGTTTACACTCTTTCTCCCCGGCGTGTCGGACCGCAGCTAACAATTATCTCCGTGTGCATTTCATTCTCAGCAATAGCCTAGCCTCCCCGGCGTATACGACCCATCTGCTGTCCTTAACATCAATCAATTCATTCATGGATGTAGAAGACTGGAAACAACTTCAGAAGTAATCACGACGAAAATTTTAACAAAATTACGCAATAACAACAAGATACGAAAACAACAAGTAAACACAATGAATCCAAAATACCACCAATTGATATGACACACCACACGTATATACAAATAGTACAAACAACCTCGCGGATCATGTCTTGGTGGAATTCCTTTGAAGAATTGCAGGACTTACACCAGTACGCCTACAACCCTTCACAGGTTGACGATTGTAAGTTGTGGAATGTCCAGACACAAACAAGATTAACCAACAATTACATCAATTGGAACTCACACAATTATTTAACACAAACATATGTACAATCAACACATCAAATGTTGTGGATTCTGACACGACAAACTACCCTTGAAGAACTGTAGGACTTACAGCAGTACGCCTACATTCCTTCTCAGGTTGATGATCCAAGTGGAAGTCGTCCGGACACAAACAGAATTACCAACAGCTAGATGACAGATGATATCAATTCAGTATATACAATATGAACATATGTACAAGATCATACACCAAGCACATTGGACTGCTCATTGATGCGCTACCCTTTGAAGAATTGTAGGACTTACAGCAGTACGCCTACAACCCTTCTCAGGTT